ATTTTTATTATCTAATTTTTATGATCCATATGCTAATATTACTGAATAATGTGAGATTTAATATATCTTTTTTGTAATTATCATAATTAATATTTAAATACTAATAAATATAATAATGTGTAAATATTTTCTATAGTCACTATATATGCATATATTTACACTCTATCTCTACTTCATTAGATACTTAATACTAGTCTAGGAATTGAGAAAATGAATACTCTAATTATAACAAAATATTGATATTAATCTATCATTTGGATTTTAAGAAAATATTTTTAATAATCTTAAATTTTAATATTTTAACTTTTAATCATTAAATAATAATAATAATAATTCGCATTATTAATAAAAAAACATTATTGAAAAATTCTCTGATTAATTCATATATTATCAATAGATATTACACAAAGTAAAAATAAAAATTCTTTATTTAAAGATCTTTATTTTATTTATTTATTATATTTAAAAAGAAAAATATATATATGATTTATCATAGTGCTATATATATTTTTATATTTATAATTTACTTTTTAATTTTATAGTTACGTGAAAATGAATTTTTAAATATTATTAAAAAATATCATATACAATATATTTGAGTTAAAATAATTAATATTCAATTGCTGTAATGAATATACAGTAGTGTCGAATATTAATTTTAATAAAATATTATTAATATAATTCTTAATGTAATACTCTGTAGTTAGAGATTTTCAAATTATATAAATTTTACTGGATATTTAATTAAATAATTAAATAGAAATTAAATTAATATCTAAATAACAAAAAGCATCGTATACCATTTATTTTTTACAATTTATTTTTATCATATTATATATATATATATTTTTTTCGCAATAATTTTTTATTCGTGTTGAAGTCAGATCGATTTGAAAGCGACAAACGATTACGTAAAAACGGACGTCATACCGATACGTTTTATTTCTTGATCAGCGTAGCGTGACCATGGCCTTGATGCGGTCATACCTTGTTAGATAATTATCGGGACCGTTACAGATCGAGGTTCATACTCGAAGCAATTCCAAGTTACACCTGAGGTGCATCTTCAGATTTAAACAGATTTATCGCCACATGTTTCTGATTAGCGTCAGGGATTTCTGTATAATACCGGATACCATTTCTGTTACGATATCTCTTCACTTCCGTGCTCTTATCTTGTAAATTCTCATAAATTAATTTATTGTATAATAAGAATCGCGATACATAAATATACAAGGTGTTCACGCTATTCGTTTCTCAGTGTTTTTCTCGGAACTAACTAGATTTTAAGAAAAAATGAAATAAGCAAAAATCGTTTCGAATTTTTTTCATTAATGAATTTCTGAATAATAAATAAAATTCTAAGAAGAATTTTTAATATTTTGTGAATTTTTGAAATTATTAATTTCAATTTATCAAAGATATATTCCAACAACTTTTGTAAAATTAACATAACGAATTAAAAAAAAATTTTGTTTCGCGAATTTTTTTAAAAGATTTAATACATTGTCTTAACAGATTTAATAATTGCCCATTAATAGATTTAGATTATCTTTTTTACCCATTAAATTTTATTGTATATAATAAATTATTGAATTTTTCTCTTCAGTTCAAATCATTATCATAAAACTTAATGATTTATTATCAATTTAAAACAATTACGGAATTTTTATTTCACAATCACTTTTGTAAATTTAAAATTAAAATAAAAATTTGTTCTAGTCATTGCATTGTGCATAAAAAGCAATTTTTTTTGTCTTTTATAGTCTCTTCTAAAATATATTAAAAGAATATATTAAAATATATTAAAAGAATGTTGGAAATTAAATTGTGTGAATATCTGAATAAAACGAAGAATTATGATATGTGATAATTACAATAAGAATATTAAGATTCACTATGAAAATGAAATTCATAATTTTCATTATGAAATGAAGAAAGTTTCAAGCAGTAATACATTTGTTACCTGGTTATGTAAATTATTTACAGTTGCATTACTAAGTGTTAACAACTTGAACAGATATTTGTTACGATATGAAAGGAATCTTCAATGCTTCCAACGTTCGAGCAAACATGTAAAATTGTGTAGATACTTCTTTGTCGTCACTTTCTATTGAAACTACATTAAGCAATTTACAAGTTTTCTATAAAAATTCTATAATTGTCAAATTAGAAAGTTCCGTGTTTCTCAAATGGCTTGTTTTCATATCTTACGAAGGTTAAAACAGTATTCGAAGTAATTTTTCAATAGACTTTATTTTTAACCGTGAGATTATTTTCATAAAAAAAGTTCTCGCATGATAAGTTTCGATGAGAATTTTAGTATAAATGCTTATAAAATATAAAAATAAAAAAAAAATTTTGTTAATTATAAAATATTTTTAATAAATTATTAAATTCTTTTTCATTAATAAATATTTAAAAAACTGTCATTAATAAATATTAAATCAGTGAATTATAATATATATAATATAGTAATAGTATTAAATAATATTCTTTATTCTATATAAGCATATTAATAATATAATATTAAACTGTTAAATAAAACAAATATTAATTTGGTTATTTTATCTTTCTATTTATTTCATGAAATCTTTTCTAGTGAAATAATTTCCATAAAACTTTTACATGCAAATTCTAAAATATTTGTTCCATAAAAATATTTTTTTTAACATATTCGCATATTTATATACTTTGAAATATAACTATATAATATATAACTATATATAACTATATATTTAATATATATTTAATTATATTATATAACTTTATCTTTAATTGCTTTAAAATATTTATCATTTATACGTGAATATACGTTAATAAACTCGTACAAGTATTAGTTATCATTACATACAAATAGGTTAGAAAATTCTTAATAAGGTTGTTTCCATGAAAATTTTATAAATATATTCTTAAACAAAATATACATATAAGTTCAAATAGAATTTGTTTAAAAACGAAAGAAAACTTTATTTTAATTTCTGTTTTAAAAGTTTGTCATCTCTTGTCGATATTATGATAATAAATGGAATTTTTTGCATCATTTTCATTATTATTTTTTCATTTATTATTTTTAATTGATATTATAACATGATGAGCATATTATTTCTTATAAATCTAAATACATCAAAACATCGCGAATTGGTATTTACGTGGAAAATTTAAGGCAACGATGATTGTGAGTGTTGATAGTTCTTGACGTCTAACTAGTAATTGTGTACAGACATGTAGTAATATACTATGCATAACAGGAAACGTTAATATGTGGCATTGTTCGCTATTTCCCGCCAATTCAGATCCCGCCAATCAAGTTCCTATCAAGTTCATTTTCTTTGTCGTTAAATCTTCATTTAGTAATTTTATTTATCTTATCTTTAAAATGTTAAAAAAAAAATGTTGAAAGAAAAAAATAAGAATACAAATAAAAAGATGTTAATCTTAAAATTTGAATTTTGAAGAATCGATTCTAAAAATCAAAATAATCCTAATTTAATTATACAATGTTTTGATCACTATTTCTTATACATTTCTATTGAGTGAAGTGAATTAAACTTTTATTAATTTTTATTATCACTGGCAATTATTAAGATTTTACAATATGCATTTGAATTTTCGTAACTCAACATTTCTGTAAAATATTTTTATTTATTCTTTTTTATTGCATGTCAAAAATCTCTATTAATCGAAATATAAATATATATCTTACGTTATTTTTATCTCTGTAATTTAAATTAAAAATAACTCAATATATTAATTTAATACAATATTACAGTCTGTAAGTAAAATTAAAATAATGTATGATATAATGTATTACAGCTGATAATCGATTATCCGATATATCTGTCTCATCTATATTTTCAAATTTTTCTATATTTCAATATTCAAAATGTTTTTAAATTTTCAGATGTTAAATATTCGAAACTTATGAATTTTTCTTTTTTTGAGCCCTTAAGGAGATAATAACATTCGAGAATAAAACTTGTGAATCCCGAAAGTATTTTTCGCAACTAACACATCTTCAAGAATAACTTTCACTCTCAATATAGTCCTATGACAAAAAATAACTTTCGAGAACGATTCATCTATATTTAGCACCCTTATAATTAGAAAAATATTAATCCTGATACAAAATTTTTGTACATTTAATTTTCGTTTATTAAACATCTTTTACTCAAAAACTTTAATAAAACAAAATTTACATATCCCAATTTTATCTTTTTTCCTCAACTTTTTATAATCAATATTACATTCTAATGTAATTTTTATATAGATTTTAATTTTACAATGTATTGTTACAATTATTTTTAACTCTTTTACTGAGACAAAAAATGTTATCAAAAATGATATTATTAATCTTATTTCAACTATTAAACATTCTAATTTTTAATTAATTTATTATATTCCAATTGTATTATCGTCAACATCATATTTATTGCCAAATAAAGAATCCATTTCGAAAGGATTATCGAGGTTTGATTGCTATAAAAAATGTAAAAAAAAATCAGAATCTTTCACGATTTTTTCCCTCGGCAAACGTAACCGGACGAAGACAAATGGACGACAAGGGAAAAGTTCGAAAATTCACCGGTCGAGCGCAACGAGTGGGATCAAGATCATGAGTTAAAATGTCGTCTCGGGATTCGAGGTCAATCCCTGTCTCTCTACTTCCGTCGTCCATTGACGAATCACATCAGTTCGAAAGTTGGTCGTGCCCGTATAGCACCGTATAGGCCGCTCGCTGATCGAGATGCAGCCCGCGAGAAAACAACTTTTAGGCGTGGACCATGAATTAAACATCGGGACATATCTTCTAGCCGGCGTCTTTCACCGGTAGAGAAAGTTCTCAAGATTCGATGGTTCTTTGGCCACGCGCGAAATTCGCGCACGTGTTTATTCTTTGCATGGGATTTGTGGGTCGTCGGAAGATCTATTCGTCTCTATTTCATTATTTTCTTTATGACAATTGATAATTATTCAGACACATATATAGTATAATGGATATCTTTTTTTCGTGGATTTGTTTTTTATTTCGATTTTGTTTTATACCGTTTGTCTGCTTCGTGACGATTGGTAATTATTTAGGCACATAGTTGATGTCTTTCTGTTTTTGTTTCCAACAGAGGATTTTTAAATTTGACGATAAAAAATAGCTTTATTTTGACAAAAAATATTTATACACTTATTATTAATTAATATTTGAATGTTGTAATAAATAATAAAATAAAATAGAGTATATATGTTTTTTTAAGATTGTATATGTACGTATATTTATTTTAGTTGATAAATCATTTAATAATATCTTCTGTGATACGAACGTATTAATATTGTAATTGTAATGTGATATACTAATCTATTTTTAGCAATGTAGGAAAATATTATGTTTCAATAATTTCAATATAAATTTTAAATATCAAGAAATAATAATAATAATACATAACGAAAAATATAAATAAAATAATTCGTATATTGTCGTATATCAAAATACGACTATAAAATAATATATTTCATTTAATTTTATTATCGTTATAAATTTAAAAAAATTAATTTCAAGAAAAATATAATTTATCATAATGTTATAAATATTTTCTTTTTTATCAAATTTTATAAGATTGTACTATATATGTAAGATTATAATTATAAAAGAAATAATCACAAAGAAGATACAAAAAATAATCCAAAGTTCATAATTACGATATTAAAAGAACAAATTCGCAAAGCTTATGATAAAAATTTCATATGATATCCATATATATATACAAATATGTATACATATATACCTATGTATATTTCTATATTCGTGTTATTCCATATTGTAAATATATAAATATTATATCTAGACATAGATATATAATATAATATATAATGTACATTTAATGTATAGATATATAATATATTTAATATATATTATAATATTATTTAATATAATTACATTTAATGTATAATTAATGTATATATAATTAATGTATATATAATGTATATTTTATTATGTATTTTATTATATAAAATTCAATTTTTATTCATTTTTTTTTTTATTACAGTTCTTTTGTTTTAGAAAAAATTAATGTATTTAATTTTTTTTTTTCTGAAGTTTTTTTCTGAAAATCAAAAATTAAAATATTTTATCTTTTTTAAAATTCAAGTTATCGTATGACACATATGTAAAATGTATGAATGAATGTAATTATCTAACGTTTCACTTCTGTAAAATCGTTTTGAAAACAGTTATGAAGTATAGAAGAAACTTCTACCAGGTCATGGAACCTGGTTTCCACGAACTCATGAATAATACATAGAATAGATAAGCAATTTTGTATTCATCTTTGAAATGATTCCATTAAAGTTAGGTCAAGAAAACATGGTACTCAACTTTGCATTGTGGCCAATATCAATGTTCATTTGCATTGATCGTTCATCGGTCAAAGATCATGTCAAAAATATAATTGAAAAATTATATATACATATATATTGACCTATTTTTCTTTCTTTTATCAGTAGTTTTAATTTTTCTTTCTTTTCTCTGTTGCAGACAGTTAATTAAATTTCTTGTGGATAAATGCAGTTTTGACTTTAGCACTGTATTGAGAGACGAGTCCAGAGAGAATTTCAATGTTTACAGGTATCTTATTTTTATTTATGATTTGGAAATATATTTCTATTTTGTAATGTAGAAAACATTATTAAGTATTTTATGGAATTAAAAAATTATTTACAAGTATGTCATAAACTAATGAATTTTTTTCTTATTATATTTATAAATATTTTATATTTATTATAATTTTTTTAATATATTTTATTTATTTTGTAAAAATTGCACAAGGCCTAATAACTTGATTATTCAAGTTTTTCTGAAAAAAAAATGTTATACATAAATTTTTTAATCTTTATAAACTTATAAAAATATATATAAAGTTATAAAATTACAAAAAAATTATAAAAGAAGAAAATTAAATTCTATTACTTCGGACCAATTATACACAAGATGTTCAAGATGAAATAAATAAAGAATTTTTCTTGCTTAAAAATGATAATATCATGGATTGCAAAACTAGAAATCATATAATTATGAAAGTTACTTGTTACAGATGTACTAATGTACTCTATAAAACTGAATATTTTATGTCATTTGATAATTTTATTTTTGGTTGATTTCTATATTGATTTTTGTACGTTGATGAAAATTTGAAAATCATTTTTTGATCTGACATATCTCAAATAAATTGTAAGACAAAGAGTTAAAAGATAATTTTAAGACTGAAACGAAAATTTCTATATAAAAATCCGTGGAAATTTATTTTTTAATTAAGAATTATAAAGCATATAATTTTCCAAATGAAAATGATCATAAAAATGAAATGATTCTATGTCCATTATATTCTATCTTAAATTTTCCAAAATTTTCTATTTTTAAACACTCTCTATATCACAAGATTTTTTAAAAATATCTCAGAAATAATGGAGATGATATTACCTTTGTTATAGTTTATCTTAAATTCCATCTTAAATTTTCCAAAATTTTTTCTTTTCATTTGAACACTTATATATTCTAATCTATATTATCTATATATAACACCCTATATATTCTAAAATTTCATGAAAATTTTGTCAAAATAGATCAACAATCATAGACTATCTTTATCTCTTTTCAAAATTTTTGGATCAAATAAAATAACTTTATGTCTATCACATTTTTTCTTAAATTTTCTATCTAAAATTTTTTTTTTTTCATTTGAACACCCTATATACTCCAAAATTTCACGAAAACACTCCGTCAAAATGAATCAAGGACGGATTATTTCTTTTCAAGGTCATTTCCGGCGGGTTATGATTATCCAGCGCACGGGGATGGTCAGTTCCATTCTGGATTACCTTTTCTACCGCCATCTCAATATCCCGGTCAAGAAACTACGCTTCTTTATGGAACCCCTTTGAACGACACTCATGGGTAATTTCGATGCTAATTTCGCGTTAATTAAATTAAATCAATTTAATTATCCGTTTTTTATCGGTAAGTAGAGTAATCCGTATTCCTCTTTATGATAGCTACAAGTACACTACACCGGCTCAAGGGAATCCATTTCTTAGCGATGAGTCTTTCAAATATCATTCTGAAGGACAAAGAGTTACGTCGGATCATCCCTTCTACACTCAATCTCAACCTTTGAACGCCTTTGGACAGGCGCAAGCATGGTGGACGAACAGGTGATTATTCTAGTATTGAATTACTAGATAATAATGGTGTTGGTTGGGAAAGATAATTTAAAATAGTTTTAGACATAATTCTAAAATTGAAATGTTTTTATAAGAAAATATTATTTGAAAATATTATTTTGTTTTAATGCTTAAATCACGAATTTTGTTAGTGGTATTTAACAAATATTAGTGAAAATAGAAGATATAAATTTCACACAAAATTGGAAATCTTATATTTAATTCGTATATATATAGATTACTTATGTATATCTTATATATACTTATGTATATCTTATTATAACATAATAGTGTGAGTTTAATATATTGTATCAAATTCAGAAAATGTTTATTAAATATTATTATTTGAAATATATTATTTGAAAATATTTATTAAATATTTATATTATTATTTGAATTTTCTTGTATTTTTCAATAAAATACTTATATCAAAATAATATTTGTATAAGATGATATATATTTAAAAAACTATTATATTTATTTAAATATTATTTCAAAAAAAAATTTAATTGCAAAATCGTATATCACTTGAAGAAATATGTAATTCTTGAAATTGATTTCATTCTTGAGAATGATAGTTTTCAGAATTTTGATAACCTTTTGAATTTTTAAGGTTCAAATTTCATTTTACAAAATTTATTTTTTTAAAAAACGAAATTGTTATAATGTTATAAAATTATAAAAGACAGAAATCAACCAATAGATATTCTAAATGAGTAACAATTACGCGAAAAGAAATAATAAAAATGCTATAAATAGTTCTGAAATTGGTTTATAAAAATTCGTAAGGTAGAAAAAAAATGATGTATATTTACATAAAGATTGATTTATTTATTATAAATTTAATTATGCTTTAAAATTAACAATTTGTAACAAGAATCATAAATTTCAAATCTTAAATTTTTTGATTTTATTTTAATGTGCATACTTTTTTTTTTTATTTTAATATATTATTTTCTATCTTTTATAATTTTATGATATTATAGATATTCTCTAAATTATTTCTTTTGGAAATGCTGAAAAAAATCTAAATCTAATCAAAACTTAATTCGAATCTAATCTAAATACAATTCTTTTTTTTTTTATAATAAATTATTTTTTTATTTTTTTATAATAAATTATTTTATTATAATTTATTTTATTACAAATCTAATACAAATCTAATGCAAATCTAACTCAAATCTATATTAAATCTATTTTAAATCTATTTTAAATCTAATTCAAATTTATTCTAAATTTTAAATATATCAAAAATATTTTATATTTTTTTATATCTCAAAAATTAAGATTAAATAATAGTTACGTTATAGAAAAAATTAATAAATAACATATTTTAAAAATATAAAAATCAATAAGATAATTCTTATTCTAAATATGTAATTAGATAATTTTTTTATACAATTTTAATGAATTTTCGATATTGTTTTTTAAAATTGTACAATTTTTTTTATGATTTATTAGTTTTAATTATGAATGAGAAATATGATATATCTCTTTATTATATTTCTTCTATTTTTTTTTTATTATTTTTATTATATTTCTTATATTTCTTATTCCTTCAGGTATGTGCGAAATAGTAAACTTACACCTCGTTCACTATATGAAAATCCCTTATTGAAATACAGTAAATTGAGCAAGAGGCGTAGAAAAAGGCAATCCGATCCTGATGCGATCTCACTTTGTCCAACTGAGACACAGTATATCACGCCGAGAGCAGCTCTGAATAATCAAGGAAACTGGATGTATGTAGTGAATCTCGAAGAGAATCAGAAATATTCGCAGGTAGTAAGGAGTGAAAAATGCACGTAAGTCCTTATATTTAATTTTTTCTGATATATTAATATAACAATATAATAAAATTTGAATTTTAATTGTATAATTTTTTAAAATATTGAGTTTAAATTTGAAAATAAAATTTGAAAAAAAAATTGAAATAGATATATTTTAAAAAAATAATTTGATACCATTATAAGATACAGAATATAGTATTTATCATTCAATGTATTTTTTTTTTATTCTATTTTTTCTTCTTTTTATCATTTTAATGTCATTTTCAACATTATCGATGCAATGTTATAGAATAAGATTATAGCATTAGTAGTGGTCGGAACTGAAATTAAATTTTATTAAAATTAGTAATTAAGTATAAAGCAGATATCTTATAATCATACCATAAACCATAAAATTTAACTGAAATTTACTTTAACAATCATTAATTTTTTATTTATTTTTTTATCTATAATATCTAGTGAATAGAATCGTTGATAAAATTGTAAATAATATAGGTTCTTTATCAATAACATATTAATTGCTAATTAAATTTTTAATTGTTGATTAAATTTTTTGTTTTTTATTTATTAAAATTAATTTTGATTTATATTAAGTTTATAAACACTTGTGCGTTGTTCTATTATTAGTTATTTATAATTTATTAATCCTATTAATTACTTCGTATCCAAATAGTAAATCAACATTGGATTATGTTCAAACATTCATAAATTGTCATGAAGTTAAAATGATTCTTAAGTTAAAATGACTTTGGATTTTATTTGATAAATACTATATAATATCGATAAAAAAAATAGATAAAAAATTATTAATCTCTAAGATAAATTTTAATTTTTTATTAAAATTTTGAGATATTTTAAATTTTATTTTATTTTTTCTTAGAATGGATGTCTGCAATGGTATTTGTTCTGTTCCTACGGGATATACCAGCAGATGTCAGCAGCAGTATGTTCAAAAGCGATTAGTAGCCTTACAAGGAAACGGAAACCAGTTGTATACTGACATATTCTGGTTCCCTCATGGTTGTTCATGTGAAATTATTGCAAATTACTGAAAAATCAATTAAATCTTGAAATTGAGAAAAATTTAAAACAATTGCATTTTCGTATGAAAATGTAATATTATAAAATCTTCGAGATGGAGAAATTATCTCGTTAATTTGAGCTTTCAAAGCGGAGAATCGCTATGGTAGTTAATTGATGAAGTGAAGGACGAGGCTCGAAATATATGAATTTCGATGTCCTATATGAATAAACAACTCAATTTATATAGAAAAAAAGAAGAACTTAAAATATTAATTAATTTTATACTCTTTCTTTATTTTATATTTCTTAAATTTTATTTTTATTATTTTATTAAAAGATATTTTGATAAAGTAATTTAGCACTAAAATAATTCAAACATTTATAAATTTATAACTTTAGTGAGATACTTTGTACAAGTTTTTCTATAGTTGGTAATGTAGATAAACATATATAAATTAATCGATTACAATTTCGCAATTACAATTTCCATAACAATAAATTTCAATATTATTCAAATATGTAAAAATCATGGGAAAATAAAAACATATTTTTATAATTATAATCATAAGAAATAGTATTTTCTTTAATCAAAAGATGTCGTTATTTATTCCGAAATTTAAATCTTTACAAAATCTTGTTCGAATTGAATCGAATATTAATAATAATAACATGCACTTCCTAGAATCGCACGTGTCACACGCTTGTTATAATTTTTGTATCCTTTCATAACAATATCGATCTCGATAATAATTATTATCTCATCTCAAGAAAAATAAAAAGAGACTAATTTGTCAGTTCACCGACCATCGATCGACGTTTGAACTCACGAAAACTTACGAATCGCATGAAATACTGTAAATATTCGTCATTAGATAATCGATAAAATAATAATATTTTACTCTATCGTCATTTAAAGATTCATTTCCATGAACAAAATTATTCTCGTCTCGACGTTTCAGATAAATTTCTGAAGCGAAATTCCAAACCAAATTTCCAATTTACGCGCGATAGACGTTGTTGAATATCGCGTGGAAAGCAATTCATGGCCGATCGTAACTGTTTATCAAGGACAGAGAGGGTGATATAGGTTAAGCCGCGTAGATCGTTGCGAAACGCGGATGCGACCTCGCAACCATGAAAATAAAAGTATCTCGACTCGCGTCGACCGTGATAAAAAGGACTAAAAGGAGGAAGACAAGAGGGCGGTGTCGGGGGTGGAACCGATGGAGGAGGGACGAAGGGATGGGGAAATAACTGCCAGGAGGTCAGACACGCGCAGGATGCGCGGAATTTTCTCTCTGCGAGGCCACGCACACCCTTCCTTCTACGCGGCTTTTTTTACGATCGTTCGACTTTTCAACCCTCCGCTATGCCACGTTTCCGCTCCGTTCGATTCCCATTGTATGATCGAACGAATTCTGGAAAATTTCTTTTACTTAGAGAGAAACGACGAAAAAAAGAATGGAAAATGGAAGCGGATATTTTAAACATTTGGGAAATTTCCTTTATTTACGGAAATTGTTTGTTTTGAATTGTTTCGTGAAAAAAAAAATCGAAAACGAAAGATTCTGATGAATAATAATGGAATCAAGTACAATGTATTTATAAATCCAAATCAAATCCATGTACAATATTTATTTCATAAGAATTGAATATTATTGATAATATATATGCATTAATATTGCTATTTTTTAAAATCTTAATAAGTACTTCAATATTATAATGAATCTCTTATAAATAGAATCTCTTATAAATAGTAATCAAAATATGAAAGTCAAAATAATTTATTTCGTTGAATGTTAGATTATAACACGTTATAATCATTTGTTATTAAAGAAAAATGATAATATGAGATAAAAGAAGTTGATCATATATAGGACAACTCCTATAATAAATTTTGAAAAATTATATAAATGTGCAAGCAATAAACAAACAATTCTTACAATTTTTATTTTAATTTTTATTAAGAATAATACTTGTTGTTTACGATATAATTTCATTAAAAATACGAGAATGATGTTTCTAAAATTTTATAAAATACATGCAATGATTTATTAATCTTCAATTAGATCATATATGAGAATTGCAATAAATACTTTCAAAAATAATTGAGAAAATTAATTTTAAACAATGTCTTAAAAGAACTTACTCAATTATTTTTGAATTCTATTTAAAAATATCATTTTTTTTTTTTTATTTATAAAAAATTCGAATTTTGTCTATCAATGTTCAAATTTGCTCGCGATATGTTTAGTTCCATCACTACTAACTAAGAAAGGTTAATGTATTGCAATAATAGTATGGAGACATGATATATTTGGTAAATGAAGATTGATAAGTTTGCAGGATAGAGAAAATTATATTGAATTAAAATGAATTAATGCGCAATGCACGCGATCGAAATATTATCAAGGGCAACAGAAGGCTCGCATTTCCGGCGTCTGTCCGGTCTACCAGATCACAATAGCGATTATCGAAGATTCGAGGAATCATGGCGAACTCCTTCTGATCGAAGTATTAGGAAATACTTCGAGTCATTCTAATGCGAAATGAAAAAATTCCTTCGTTCAATTTGCGCAGAAAAAATTTGCTGCCTAAGTAATGAAATAAAATCTTTCAAACCTCAACTAAAAAAAGACTACATTTTAAGGAGATTTATACAAGAATTTTATAATGTTATTTAAGATATAAGATTCTTTTATAATATTAATGAAACATTTGTTTAGCATTTTATTTTCTAATTAAAACAACGCCTTCTCATTCGATCGTAACGTAAATAATTATTGTAACATTCATTATTATCAAAATCCATCATCCAGAATCTTAAAATATAATTAAGTTGTCCTATTTCTTCATTTTTCATTTTCTTTATTTTTTATAGAGAAATAGAAATGTATTTTTCTAAAACTTATCATTTTATTTTATAAGAATAATCGAAGAATAGGTTTTACTCACATGTTTCAATATTTTATCATTTGTAAAATTTTACACATGCCACTAACAAAACTACTTTGGAACTTTGGCTCGAATTTTATAAAATTTTTTTAATCAATTATTTTTACATATAATTTTAAAGAAATAATCTATTTTCCAACAATTTTCCAAAACGACAGTTAACGTGCCATTCGAAACCTAGAAGAAAATGAAACATCCCGATACGAATCCTCCAATGAAAAACCTGGTTGCTCGTGCAAACAACAAAAAGAACCTTCGGGAGGAGACATTCGAGATCCATTTTGTCATTCAAATAAATTTCCCAATTATATATATTTCCTGTGCTTAAAGATTAATCCGTATCTTCCGACCGATTATAAAGCTTGTGTATTCTGTAAAACGGTGCTAGGGCCTAGACTACGCCCCACACACGGCGCGTATTCTTCTGCGAGAATCTCGGCTTCCGGCTGGTCGTGAAGGCAGCAGGAAAAATTGAAAGCTTCTCCCTTTCCCCCGCCCCTCCAGTGCCAGTGTCCTCGGGGTGCGGCGGGGGCGGACGCGTCCCAGCCTATACGACCGCGGAAGTGCGTGCTATAGATTTCGTTCCAGCCGCTCTCTGCGACACGGTGAACTTGTGCGTGCCGCTCCTGTGTGCCGTATTCACTCTCTCGAGGCTTGTGCAACCTCCCTTCCGCCCCTCGGCCGCCCACGTCGACCAACCTGTGCGCCGGAGAAAGAGAGAGAGGGCGAGGGAGAGCGAGAGAGAGAGGAGAGAAAAAAAGGGGTGAATTTCTAGGCACGTAAGCGCTCGTGCAACGCACCTAACATCGACTATCTGCGTGCACTTGTGCTCTACGCGCTTCCCACCCTCGTTGGCTGCGACTAGCGATGGCCTCAAGACGCTTTGGTTTCCCTCGCGATGTACCTACGCGAGTCAACAACTCGAGACTAACTGATCGATGATGATTTTTTTCTTCCTGTACAGCACATTTCCTCTGTGAATAATTCTTTTTTTTAAATGTGATACTCGAATTCTCTTCGAAGGGATTTGAGCGTAAATTTAATATACGGATAGAAAGTAGATGGAAACTGGATGGAATGGATTTTATGCGATGTTATTTTTTGGATTATATGTATAAGTTGTTTTAGAATTAATATAACATTATTATTCCAAAGTAATTTTTATTTTATTTTAACTATATCTTTTAGAATCTTTCAATTCCATCATTTTTTATTATTATATTACTTAAATTTCTTTAGAGATTATAACAGGATACCTATTATGTTTATATAACAATTATAATTTGCGAGCTATATTTAATTTCTTTAGATATTTGTGAATTAAGGAATAATCGAATTTCAGTATTATAATATTGAATTATCTATTGAAAAAAAAATGAAATATAATGATTTGTCATAGTCCTGTGGTTTTTAAATAGATAACGTATTTTGTATAAATAAGTATAGGAAGTATTAAATATTGAATTTCAAAATCAGCATTGTGTAATCATTGAATATATGGAGTTTTAAATATCAAATTAATTTAGAAATCTACAAAATTTTTATTCTTCAAATTATATGTAATATTTTTATTTATCAATTATGTATATACAATAAAGATAAAATAAATAACGAATGAAGAATATTTATATTAATGATTATACATATAATAATAAAAGATGTGATTAGATATCTATGCTGGATGAAATTTAAGGATAATAAGGATTAGCCACTGTATTATAAAATTAATATCCATTGTGAAAAGTGACAAAGATATAAGATATAAGAATAATAAAAATAGATAATGTAATCCATATGGCCATTTTTAATATGCTTACATGAAATAAGCTTCAAAATTCATAATTTTTTTATTGAATTAGTATTTTAAAATATAAAAGACATATCTCTTGAAATTGCAGCTATATGTGATCAACAAAAAAAAAATTTTAATGAATTTTATATAACTTTATGTAAATAAAAGAATTATTAGACCACAATAATTTTTACATTACATTCAGAAATGATAAATCTAAAAATATTATAAATGTATCTTATATCTATTAAAAGTATTAAGTATAAAGTATAAAGATTAAACGTGTTCGTGCATTTTAATTGATTCAAACATTTTTTTAAATTTAAATTTTAATAATTTTTTCTTCTCTCAGCATACTACAACCTGCCCACATTATTTCAATATGACATATGCTACAAAGGAATACGGAATAAAAATAAAACATTTAAAAATATTTATACAACAATGAATAATAAAAATACATATAAAAATGATCATACCAACTCACT